CCATTAAAATAAGAAATATGTTTTTATTGGATTTTCTGTTGCAATCGATAGAGTTTCGACAAATTGCTGACCGTCGTTACAGAAATTATATTAAAGAAATGACGTAGTTTGTGTTAGATACTTTGAAAATAGATTTCTACCAAAAGTATTTATTACATATTTTTGTCACCATAAACCTATTGTATCAGTTTTTATAATATGGTACAAATGATGATCAGACAAAGTTTACTGAAGAAGTTTATATACAATTATAATTGTATATATTGTAAAAGATGTTACTTTGATAATAAACGAGACTGAAACGACAAGAAACCGCTCGACGTTTTCGATTACTTTAGCATATACTAGACAAACGCTCCAAACTTCTAATTAATTACAAAAGACTCATATACATGCGATAATAAGGCCTATTTGGACTTACGAAGTTGAGCTATGGGGTTCTACTAAACCATCCCTACTTTGTTACAAAAAAAAAAAAAACATCTATTATGACCTTAATGTTCCTTATGTTTCAGATCTGGCCAAATCCAGATATCTCTCCTTCCATAAAAAACTTCAGAATCATCCCAAACCTCTCGTTTCTAACCCTGCTTCCTCTTCAATTCCTTATAACCCTCCGAGGCGTCTGAAAAGAAGATGGTCCCGTGTTCTCCTAATGTAGACATATCATAGTGCTACCATTAGGTAGTTTCTCAACAAGTGTTTTCATAAGAACATAGAAATATATATATATATATATATATATATATATATATATATATATATATATATATATATATATATATATATATATATATATATATATATATTATATATTTCATATTATTACACACCGCAGTTTTTACTTTCAATTATCTACATATTAAATATATAATAAGGGGAAGTATAGCGATCGTGAAAATATTTGAATCTTAGTTTTCAACTGGAATACACGTTTTGAGGTCTCCTTAGTCCAAATCACCAAGCCCCGCATAATGGTCCGTGCGTGCGTGCATGCATGTGTGTGTGTTGTGTATGGGAGAGGGGAGATGTTGTGTGTGTGTGTGTTTGGGGGGGATAGAGGAGGTGCACTTTATGTAATTGATTTTACACATTTTTAAGATTTTTTCGAAAACGGCTTTTACGATTTTGATTAAACCCACTAGATCAGTGTATTATTAAGAGATTGATATCTTAAATTAAGTTCTATCCTCATTGATGCAACCCCACAGGGCTTAAATGCTAAAGGAAAAATATCGTAAAGGAGAATAGTTGTAATGGAGGAATACGAGCGCTCCCGAGCTCATCCAAAAAATTGGAACAGACTTCGACAACATTATGTACATATACATATGCCGTTTTTATAAATGATATTGTTGGTATTATTTAATATTTAATTGAATATATTTCAGCGACATAAAAATTAAAATTTGCATATAAACCGGTACTTAAACAATTAATAATACCCGCAATAAAATATAAATAAATATAGCTGTCTTATTTATCAGTGGCACTCTTGTCGGACTAAAAATATTTCTTGACACTTAATTTATTATAATCAAATAAATATTTGAAATATACAGTCGGAAAAGGAAATTACTAGTGTCAAACAAATAAAATATAAGACATGAGAAGGCTTTTCGGAAAATAAATAAATAGATAGAAAACCAATGCTAGAAAAAATAAAAGATTTTCCATTCTCTTGAATAAAATTCCATTAAAATCAATACTACACTGGTGCATAACCCCTCAAATTGATATACCATTACGGGTGAGTGAACTAATGGTTCAAGCTGAACGAATGGAAACAACATATGGCCATCTTTTTCTTCCACACCACATTTACAGAATTTATGGTGGCTGTTCTATAATAGCAGATAATCATGTTGCTTTAAAAAAGTATTAAATAGATGAAGTATATAATACGAATATATTTTTTTTTAATGCTCTAGATTGCTCATATATTTTAAGACAACGTGCGAACTAAATTTATATAAGTTGCAGATATCAGATTTAGCTATGGTATAGCTAGGTACTACTCGTATTACTATTAAATAGCAACAAGTGTAGCATTGTTTTGCATTAGAAAAAATCTGGTACGCACATCACATAACTTTCACTTACCACTGTTGATAATCTGCAAATGAACTATTTCAGGAAAAAATGAGAAATCAGCAGTGTGGCATGGGGCGGATAATGACCAGAAGTACTATTTTCCTGGCTTGATTCAATACACTGGATGTTTAAATTAGGAGATATCTCTGAAAATATTTAAAATACCATTATTTTTTGTAAATTTATTGTATTTAGTGTATTTATGGATTTGCATATATGTAATACATGCCAAATGATGGAAAAAATAAATCAAAGCTTTCCAATGATTTATTGTAGTCATTTTTGCAGAAAATATGGTTATTTTTAGGTAAGCGTATATCAAAACACATAATTTTTTTACCCAACATGAGGCGAATCTCAAAATTTTCACCAATAAACCTTAACTTTATTAATATGGAATTAAACCTTATTAACTGATGTGAAAAGAAGTGATGTATCTGTAGGATGGTACGAGGTTGATGAAAAAAATCGCAAATAATTTTTTTTTTTTTTTAAACAGAACTTACTTGAGTTCAGCTGCTTAATATCCCGCTTTAAATTAATTTCAACAATGATAAACTTTACTTCAAATACAAGCAAATTTTATCTATTTTACTTTGAAGCAATATTTAATTATTTAAATCAAATGTTTTTTTTTAATTGATCGCTTCCTATTCAACACAAAAAAAACCTAAGATGAATGCTTTAGACCACACGAGAAAAGTGAAAACATCTACAAGACGAGATTGATAATATAAAATATAAATTATAAACAATAGCTCAACACGAAGAGGATAGAACGATGAACAATTCCCCTCGCTTACAAAGTATGCATGTTCGATTTTTAGATTCTGAGATATTTTAATCCATATCTTCAATAAACCTCATCATTTGGTTTTCGGTACTATTTTTTTTCTTGTTAGCCTCTCTAGCATGGCTTCGCAATAAGATAAGATTTTCAATAATAGTTCATTATGGAGAGAATGGAATGCTGAAAAATTCACTTGCTTACAGTATGGAGGCTCGATTTTTAGTTTCGGAGATATTTTAATTCATATGCAAAAACAATAAACTATTGTCTATTCCATTTATTCTTTTAAGCTTTTCCTTTACCTCCATTCTATTTTTACATCATAGTTACTATCGTATTTCAGGTTATTGAGTGTGGGATTGACATATTTAGCAAAAATTTTCAGTTTCCCCATTTATATTACTGATGATAGGACTAAGTGGAGCCTCACTTTTATGTAACTTTACTAATCCATGTATTCTAGGTGCATAGCAGTTAGGGTTAATTAGTTTAATTTCGTTTAGTAAGAAATATTTAATTAATTTTTTTTAAATAGAAAACTCTAAGTCCAACAAAAGAATACAGATGATAACTTGAGAAATAATGTGTTTTCTTTATTACTAAACGAAGATAATAATAATTTGGCCAAATTCAAGATATAATTTTTCTCCTAATTTCTAAGGAAAGTCGTGTGATACACCACACATACTTGACATTTAACTATTAGAAAAAAAATCCATTGTGTAATAATTTGCAACATTTAAATATTCTAATTAATGTCGTCAGATAAGTATCTTTTTCGTTTTTTCTCAGTTTTCCAAACATAAATAAGAGCAAATACATTAGAACTCTGCCGCTCTATTTTTTTAATAATATGTTTGGAGAGGTATTTAAATGTCTGTAAAAATATAAATTCTATCTGATTTATATATATATATATATATATATATATATATATATATATAAAAGACGTTCTTTAGGTGTATTCGCATGATCGTGATAAATAACTTATTCTGTTCACCAGCTTTGCTTGATGCTTGACAGCAGCACTTATGGATCCAGGATTTAATTTTGGGCAGGAAAGGGCTTGGAAGCTTAAGCCAGATAGTTTTTGTTTCCATGCATAAAATGATATTTACTTTGAAAAAAAAAAAAGATTCTAACTACATGAAATGTTATCGAAGTTATTCTTGAAGTCCTATTAAATGTCATTACACGAACTATAATACTCTAAGAGATAATTTTTAAATATTATTTTACCATAAACATGGTTACATTTAACCATTTTTTTTGGGGGGGGGGAGAGGGGAGGGCTTCAGCCCGAAAGTCCCCCTCTCCCCTCCGTCAAGCAGCCTGTGGACAGCAGTATCTTATTTAAGATATAAGACAATTAAAATACCATAAGTTACAAAATTTGATTTGTCCATCTTTTATTCTCGCATTGTGACGTATAAACTCCTGCTCAAGACTGGTCTTTCCTATTCCAAACGATCGACACCCGACACCCTTCCTACATCTACAGTCTCCTACAGTTCGAACCCGTGGTCCACTCCCAGAAAACAAGAGCTCGTGTTTCCGACCTTTAAATCCCTTCACACAGAACTAAGACATTTGAATATTCCTTTATTGCTCAATCTACTGCCTTCTGGAACTCTTTGGGACCTCATATCCGACATGCTTCTTCCTTGTCCTCATTTAAATATCAAATCAAATTTTGACTGAGTCGAATGGTTGTTGAAGTTCATTGAGTTTTAATTTTAAGAATCAACCCATATGGCTTATATATTTTTTTTTAATTTCTCCTGATTTCTATTTTTCTTTTCATTTTAAGAATGTTTGTTTTTTTTTTCAAAATTGTTTTACTTTTTTGTTTTAATTTATTTTCACTGATGAAATTGTATATATTCTTTAACTTTGATCAATCTAATTTTTAGCGAGATGTGGTTTTTATTTTTCGTTAATAATTGTTATTCTTAAGGGACCTCGTCCTAGAGTAAAGTTTATTTTCTTTTCTATTCTATTGTATATTATTTTTTTTTAAAAATACGTGTGCTCTCAAATCGAAATTATCATAGCGATCAATCCTTAGGCATGACTTAGGTCATTAAGTTATTTAGTAAATATGTTTCGATGCTGAATGATCAGAATGAAATGCTGGAGGACAAAGCGACAGACTGGAGAGAAAAGCCGAAATGGGTCGCTTCTGAATAGAGACTCATCAAGCGCTCAAACTGCCCTCACAATGTCGCTCTGTGCCTTCTCGATCCTCACAATTGTTCCTCAAAGTGGCCTCCTGTTTGTCCAATACCTCTTTCAAAGGCTTGATTATAAACATGACAAGATCCAGGTACAGTGGTAAGATGATATTCTAACTTCGCATCATTCGTTTACCACAATAAAATCTGGAATATATTGTTTATTTTAAACCTGTTTATTGAGAGATATGATATTCGATCTCAATTAACGACATTTATAATAGAGAACAGAAAGCAAATCCACACTATATTTACAGAAACTATAAATAAATTAAGTATTAGCAATTATAATAAACAAGAACAAAACAAAATAGCATAAATTTAAAAAATAAAATAAAAATAAGAAACAATAAAAATAAAATATAAAATAAATATCTTAGATACTGACATACTTACATACACTATATTTGAGCAGCTATGGGTACACCGAAGCATTCTTCTATATCCAGTTATGAAGGGAGAAGCGAGGCTCAAGGAGAACCCAGCATTTCACTCCTCTGAACCACTTCACTGGTACTAAAAGCTGGATTTCAAACAGATATTTTTACAAAATCATGTCATAATTATAATATTTGATTTTTAATTTTTAAAAAATGCCCAATTTATAAATAAAAATAGTTCTTCGATGTTTATTTATTCAATTAAAAACGATCATTCACTCAAATTAACGAACTATCACTCACTGAGTGTACATAAATAAAAATGATTAAATTGTGATTAGAAAATAAAAATCACTTTTTAAAAACAAATTAAATGAAATATTAATATGTAAGTAAAATTATTTTTTTTATATTATACTTCTAAGGTTCCTTCAATTGTAAACACAGTACCTGCACTATATATAGTCTGGCCAGAGACGGCAAGCAGTTCACTTCGTTCCTATAGTTTTTTCTCTCTAGCATTCGTACCCTCTGTTATTTCTTCTTAATTTTTATATATATATGTTGTGTTTTTTTTTTCATCACGGTCAAGCGAGTTTATTTACGTTCTTCATTTATTTATTTTTTTAGTCAATTATTAAAGATAAAGGTCGTGTTTCACTAGCTGTGGATTGAGAAGCGGCTATTAATCCTTCTAAGCTCTTGAGTATTAAGGACCAACAACACGCATCTATTGACAAACACTCTTCTAGCGTGAGTAAATATTATTATATTATCACGAAAATGGTTCAGTGCTCTATTTGTGATAGTGTCATCTCTAGAGATGACAAAACTAATATAAGCTGCAATAAATGTCAGGTTATCTTTCACGGTAAATGCTGCAAACTGGGTGATAAAGAGATCGAGACATTAAAATCTCAAAAAAAAGTATGGCTTTGTAAAAAATGTGACCAAGGCAAAAAGACATACCAAATTAGGGAAAAATCAGCCAGTCCACCAAGAAGTGAAATCAAGGAGCCGTCCGCAGCTGATATTCTCGGAGCGGTTAATCGACTTAGCGCCCAAGTCAATGAAGACATTAAAAATATTAAGTCGTCATTGGAAAAGTACGGGGAACTCAGCTTCGAGTTAAATGAAAGGTTTTTAAAAATAGAAAATCATCTAGAGAGCCAAGCTAAACATCTGGAGGAATTGACTACGGAAAATAAAACGCTGAAATCCAGAGTGGGGGAACTCGAGGTACGATTAAACAGAGCCGAGCAGGGCCTACTCTGTAGATCGGTTGAGATCCGAGGCATTCCGGTACGTGCAGGAGAGACTCCTTCGGCCCTAGTTGCCAGTGTGGGAGCTGGTCTCGGTGTTAAGATTAACATCGAGGACATCGATTTTGTGGAGCGCCGTAGACCTAAAAAAGACGACCCTAGACCACCACCAGTTATAGCTCGCTTTGTGAGGCAGGCAGTACGAGACGAGCTGGTCCAAAGAAGAAAGGTCAAAAGGGACTTCTCAACTCGAGACATCGGCTGGCAGGAAAACGACTCCCACCGGATATACCTGGGTGAAGAAATGACCCCTGCTAATAGAAGATTGTATTGGCTCGCACGTCAGAAGAGAGCGGCTGGTAAACTAAAATACGTGTGGTTTTCGGCGGGTAGATTGCGCTGCAGAAAAGGAGATGGCCATCCCGTGATATACATCGACCAACCAGATGATCTAGATGTTTTCTGCTGACCTTCTGATTTACGTCAACCTACAGAATGCATCCGTAAACTTCCAATCTTCTATTGTATAATACAGCATCGTGCTGGGTTGCCTATCTACTACTATTGTTATTATTGTTTCTCTATTTTAACCAATGTAATTTTTTGTTTTTTCCTCTTTCATATTTTTGAACCTAACTCTATTTTGTTTGTATTTTTTTTCTTCTCTTACAGCCATTATTTACTTCTTTCCAAATTGATTTTCACAGTTTTTTCTTACCTACAGCGTCATCCATCATATGTATACTTTTCTCCTTTCCGTTATGTCTAGCGTCTTAACTACTTGCCATGTTAATTCTCAATCCCTTCCTGCTTACTATGACGAATTTCTCCAATATTTCACCTGTAACTTCTACCACATTATTGCAGTCTCTGAAACATGGCTTAAGCCCTATATCCCTTCCTCTTCCGTTTCCTTACCTGATTATACCTTCATCCGTCATGACCGGGTTTCCCGGACTGGCGGAGGTGTTGGTCTCTATGTTCATAATAGCCTGAAACCCCGTATTCTAGATATTTCATCCCCTTCCAATCATCCTCACATTGAATTCCTCTTCGCTGAAATTTCTTGTAAAGCACATCCTCTCCTTTATGTGGTCGTATATCGCCCTCCTTTGACTCCTTTTGACTCATCCTTCGAATCAACCTTGTACAATTATGTCCCTTTCTATAATAACATCATAATTTCCGGTGATCTTAATACCAACCTCCTCACAGAATCCAACAACAAACGCTATTTGGAAAATCTCTTCTTCTCCCTCAACCTTTTTATTGTTCCTTTCGCTCCTACACACCATACTTGTTGGTCTGACACCTGGCTGGACTTGCATATCATCGATTCAGAGCAGAAACTCTTGTCCTGTTCTCAATTACCCGTTCCTTTCCTTTCTTCTCATGATCTCATCAAATTATCGTACGATATCCAAACTCCCACGTTTCTTCCTAAAACCATAACTTTCCGCAATCTTGACAACCTCACCCGTGATAAAATCCTACCGGACCTTGAAACCCTAAACTGGAACGATATTTATTCCTGTACCTCTATTGATCATATGGTAGACATCCTCACTTCTAATCTTATCCATATTCTTGACATACATGCTCCTATCAAAACCTCAACCTTCCGTCGCCAACCTGCTCCTTGGATGTGTCAAGAAATCCGCGACATGCAAAAGAGACGTGAGGCAGCCCGTAGACGCTTCAGACGAACTCGACTAGCAGATGACTATCAAGTCTATAGGGTACTCCGTAACTTGACACAAACAACGATCAGGAAAGCGAAATCAAACTTCTTTAACGAAACTCTCGCTTCTGCTCCTGATTCTAAATCAATATGGCTAACCCTTCGTAAACTCTCTCTTTGTAAATCCTCTTCCTCACCGTTCTACCCGGTATCACCCGATGAACTAAATTCCTACTTTATATCTTCCACCACCAGCAACAGTTTACCCACCTCTCACCAGTCTTCCTTATCACACTCATTTAACAGTGATAACTTCTATTTCTCCAACATCTCACCGACCGACCTTATTTCCTCTATAATGAAATCACACACAAACTCCATCGGACTTGATGGGATACCAGTCAAACTATTAAAATTATGCCTTCCCGAAGTCGTTCCAGTTCTCCTTTTCATCTATAATTTTTCCCTCCAGAACTCAGTTTTTCCAACTGCTTGGAAAAAAGCATTAGTCAGACCTATCAACAAAATTCCCAATCCTACCTCTCCTAAAGACTACCGCCCAATCTCCATTCTTTCTAACCTTTCTAAACCTCTGGAAAGAATAGCTCAATCCCAAATCTCTAAATTCCTTGAAAACTCAAAACTATTCGATCCTCTCCAATCTGGTTTCCGACCTGGCTTCTCCACACAATCCGCCCTACTAAAAATTACCAATGACTTACATACCGCAATGGACGAAAAAATGTTAACTGTATTAATACTTCTCGACTTTTCCAAAGCTTTTGACTCCTTAGACCACTCTATACTCTATACTAAATTAAAATCCCTATCCTTCTCCAACAGCTCTATCCTCTGGTTACAGTCTTTCCTATCCGACAGAACTCAAGCAGTCAGCATTCCAAACCAACCCCTATCTTCCTTTCTTACACTGTCCTCTGGAGTGGCCCAGGGTTCGAGCATTTCCCCTCTCCTTTTCAACTCCTACATAAATGATCTTTCCAAATCCATCTACCACTGTTCACATCATTTATACGCTGATGACACCCATATATATTTTTCCTTTCATCCTTCTGAGCTACTAGTCGCGTTCGCCAATATTCAGGCTGACCTAGATAGGATCAGTGCCTGGGCAAGTCTGAATAATTTAAATCTAAATGCGATGAAAACTCAGGCCATTATTATAGGTTCCAGTCCTATTCTTAAATCCATCTCCTTCCTTCCTCCTTTAGTCATCAACGATCATCCTGTCACATTCAGTTCATCCGTTAAAAACCTAGGAATCACCATAGACGAAAACCTCTCCTGGAAACCCCATATTGCCCTCATCTCCCGTAAGTCAATAGGTACCCTTAAGCTATTTCATCGCTCCCGCCACCTACTCCCACAACCCATCCGCAAGCTCCTTGTATCCTCTCTCATTTCCCCCCCCCCTTTGACTACGGCTGTGTGGTGTACGGAGGCATCCCAATGGTACTCGAGGATAGATTGAAGCGACTCATGAATACGTGCTTAAGATTTGTCTTCGGTACATCAAAGCGATCTCATGTGTCCCACCTTTACGACGAGTTAAAGTGGCTCTTCCCTTCTTTCCGCAGACAATATTTCCTCGGATCTTTCCTATTCCAAACAATCAACACTAGACACCCTTCTTACATCTACAGTCTCCTACAGTTTAAACCCGTGTTCCACTCCCAGAAAACAAGATCCCGTGTTTCCGACCTTTATATCCCTTCCCATAGAACTAAGACGTTTGAATATTCCTTTATTTCCCGATCCACAGCCTTCTGGAATTCCTTGCCATCTGAAATCCGTCATGCCTCTTCCTTGTCCTCATTTTAATATCATCTTTACCAATTCCTTCTCACATCCCAAAATGACGTTATACAATAAAATAAATATTGTGAAATAGATTTTGACTGAGGTGAATGATTGATAAAATTTATTGTCTTAATTTTAAAAATCAACCCATGCTTATTTTATTTTATTTTTATCTTCATTTAAATAATGTTGTTTTTTTTTTATTTCGTTTTTCTCAAAATTTTATTTTATTTTTACTTGTTTTAATTTAATTTCACTGAAGATACTGTATATATTCTTTAATATTGATTAATGTAATTTTTGGCCAGATGTAGTTTTAATTTTTTTGTTCATATCTGTTATTCATAAGGGACCTTGTCCCAGAATAAAGTTTACTTTCTATCTATATATATATATATATATATATATATATATATATATATATATATATGTATGTATGTATGCATATGTATATATGCACTATATATATTTTTTTTTTTTTGTAAGCCAAACATTCTAATAAATTTCGTAAATAGAGATGTTCTGTTGCTAATAGTTAACAGTAATATTCTTCACATACCACTCAAGACTCAAAATATGTCATAGATATTACAAACAAAAATTATATTACTGATTTTAAAAATTAGTACTTAAGAATTATTATTATTGTTAATAGTAACAATTTGGTACAAAAATAATGATCAAAAATAAAAATCGGTCTTAATCATCAAATGATTTTTAAAAATTCCAAATAAAAATTTTCAGCTTCAGCTTTTGCTTTTATTATTTTAATTATAGATTTCAAGCCCTTGTTAAAAGCCAAGGAGGTTAAGTAAGGGCTCTACAGCCACAGGCACACATGACTTGGAGAATCATTCCACTGGCGTTTTAACCTACGAGGAGGGTTTTAGGAATGGATGGCCCTAGAAAGGGAT